GAAGGTTTCCCTCGATTTCTCCGGATCCCATCATCAGATCCTGACTTGGTTTCAATAGGACTACCCCGGAAGTGTACTCTTTCGAATAAAAAAAGAATTTTAGAAATCGGTCCACAATGGACGGAGATATCGGTGAACATACATAAAAATACAGTCGAACTCAGAACCTCCTCTTTTATTGAAGTAGGTTAAAAATAGCAATTTACACAAAAGTAACGCTGAATACGGCATAAGGAGATAGATGTAAGTGATGGATGCCATCGTTTGTTGTGTTTTAGTAGTATCTATATAGAGTCAACAACTTTTAATTAGTAAAAGGAGCCAATAAGTCAACAATAGTATTATCATCGTGAGAGTGAGAAGGCAGATAGTTCGCCCCGCATTGTGTCAGACATTAGTAAAGGATTTAAATAAAATAAATCCACTCACAGATCAATACATACCAATAAATGTTTCAAATCGCCCAGCTACTCTTACTCCACTGAGTAAATAACGCAGCAGATGGTAAACTGTTAAGTTATAGACATCTTACTATCGAGATAAAGAGTACCTACTATGGCATACAACTAGGGCTGCCATCTCTAAAATGTGGCAACCAGGATACGACGCGTGATAACCCCGGATTTTGAAGCCCAGAACCCGGACAGACCGTTAAAAATGTCACAAATCAACTTTTTTATGTTGATCTAGGCAAAAGAGCTAGCGGTCTACCTCATAATAAGTGGTCACTACTGCTGCCCATGGACACTTGCAGCACCAAGGGCCACTTATGCGTTGCCGTAAATTCTTAAACCCGGACTACAAATAAAACCCCGCCCGGACGCTCCCCGGACGCCCCGTAAACCAGGACAAATCCGGGGACACCCGGACGGATGGCAGCCCTACATACAACTTACATGCATTGCACACAACTTCAAAAGTTCTTTTTAAATTCGTGATAGATAACCTAAATAATGAAAATTCGTAAGTGACATTAAGAATTGAAATATTATAGTATGTATATTCATTCTTTACACTAAACTATAATGTACTATTGTTCTTAAAATGTAAAAATAAATCAGTATAAACTAATAATATGTATTCCCACTAATTCCCAGTAAGTACTGTTGTTAGGTTTTGTACTTAGGTTGTAGCATTCTTAGATGTTGAAAATTAGTAGGCATTAAAGCTGGATTAAAGCTGGAAGAGAATTACTATTGATAAGTAGGTGTTATTCTATGATCTTCGCCTCGTGTGTCACTCGGATTACGCGCGCACGCAGGTAGTCTGAATGAATTGTCACTGTCAAGCTGGGTTGACACTTTCGCTAGGGTTGTGGTTTTTATGCAGAACATTGAAGGATTTTTACTGGACCTCGTTTTTATTTCAATCGCTTTGAATATTTTGGAAACTTATTATATTCATCTGAAAAATGTTAATAATTAAAGAGATATGACTATGTACTTCGCAAGGCACGTGAAGCCGTTAGTCCCTGTTGCATCTGCAGTCGTTAGGAACCACCAATCCGCACTGGGCCCGTGTGGTGGGTCATGGCCCAGTTCAGGGGGCATTAATAGGCTGATGATGAGATGACTATGTTCATGCCATAAGTTCCTTTTGGGATTGTCCGACTGTCAAAATTATGATAAGTACCTACTGCGTTTGTCATTGGCACTATTTGAGTTGTAAATATTCTTCTTCTAAAAATCATATTTGGAATTAAGTCGGCCTTAATAAGCTTTCTTTCTACCAAACATTGATCGGTTGCTTCGAGAATCTCCACCAAAAGCTCTAAGGTCGGTTGAAGAAACGGTGCACCGTACAAATAATTGATATAAAAATTAATATTGTCTAAGCCGCACTCAACAAGTTTCCAACTAAACATTGGTCCTATGGCAGCCCTGCCTCCACATACTCGTATAATCCCCTGGACGTGAGTGCTACAAAACTGGTAGCGCGTGAGAACGGCGCCGTGACGAGGGGCCAGAACAAGGTCGCGCCGATAACGCATCGATCACTTACAACTTATCCTATATGCATATCTAAAAGATAAGAAGATCTTAATCGTATTACGCTTGATCTAAGGAACAAATGAAAAGCGGAATGTATTTGTATTCTTTTTGTTTCAGTGGTCTATCAAACGTGTAAAAAGGTCACTTGGGCCCGTATTATAGTCAGATTCTCAGTGATTGATCTAGTCTTGAGCATAGTTAGAAAGGGACGTCGCTATATATAGCATATGGCGGCATCCTTTCCTAACTGTACTCAAGTAAAGATCAACACTTAGTTGTCATCCTGTAATACAGGCCTTGGACTTTCAGAAGTTGAAAGCTCTATACTGCATACTTTATCGCTTTTCCATAATGTCTACAATGGTGTAAGTATATAAATCAATTAACAGAGCATTATGGATCCAGGGGGCCAATTGCTTATCGAAATTGCTATGGCTGACGCTATCGCTTACGATTTCATTTTCTTATTTCTGACCGCTGAATGCAGCTGAATGATTTGAAATGCCTTGCGCTCGTTTTCTTTTCTTTTGCATTATTAAATAAAATGAGCATAAGGTATAACTAAATAAAATCGTAAGCGATAGCGATAGCCATAGCAATCCGTGTAGCAATTGACGACCAGTTGGCCACAGCTCTTTACGATAACGCATCGATCACTTACACATTATCCTATGCATATTACGCTGGATCTAAGAAACAAATGAAAAAGGAAGGTATTGGTACTCTTTGTGTTCCAGCTGTCTGTCAAATGCTGCACAATTTCCGTAAAATTCCAGTTGCAGAAGAAATTCTGCACGGCCATTAATGTCTCGATAGCATAGTTGGTAAGCGTCCACCCGAATAATGGAAGGCGCAGGTTCGAGTCCTGTCTGATACCAGGAACGAGTAGATTTTTTCTAGTAAAAGCAGTCTTTAAATTTCGAAGTTCTACTTGCGCTTGCAGAAGTTGAAATATCGTCCCAGTAACGCATCGATCACTTACACTTTATCCTATATGCGTATTTAACAGTAGATTATTTTGCACCATGGGGGATAAAGCAGTGTGTTACATCACCATGTCACTCAGACCGTAAAGATAACAAAACACAACACTAAAGAGTATTAAGAGTATTTATAGTATAGTTATGGTTAAGCAGTTCGGGCAGAAAAACTGCTTTTTCCACCTTTCTTTTATTGCCTGTATAAATATACTTTTTTTAAATTTCTTTGAGATAGTTTGCGATTCATGTTTCTGGTCAAGTTCCTGAAAGAGCAGAATTGCGTATTTACTGTGGAAAAAAAAGTTGGCATTAAACACTAATGAAAAATACTATTGTTCTTTTCTTACGTTTTCACAGTTGCCGTTTTTACGAAAACACGTAGAAAAATGTACCTATTTAACACAAATTTGTAGATGTTGTTCGCACTCGTACAAATGCCAGAATGACCGCTATTTTAAAAGCTGTTGAGCAAAAGTTTTTACAAAAGAAACAATTGTTTTATTCAAAGCACAATGAGTTGACGCTAAACCTCAGTGTCGAGGGTGCTGAATATTTTTTTGTATATTGTTACAACATTTCACGCTTTATTTTCAGAGAGTTAAAAATCTTAATTTCAGTTGTTTATGTTACAAATTGTAAGCATACCTACAACTGGCAACAAAAACATAATTGCGCGGAATACTTTAAGATTTTAAAGCAAATTCGAATGTTTAAATTTAGAATGCCACTTTTTTGTTTTCAAAGACAACGGTGATGGCCGGAGAGCAATGCAGGCGAGCGGCGAAGCGTGAACGCTTGCTCGAGACTTGAGGGGCTCGTCGCGTCGCGTCGCCGTCGGTTTATTTTTTTCTGTAATCCCAACCAGGATTAGTGTGAAGCCTTTTTGATTGGCAGCTAGCGTCAGATGCACGTCGGTCGCGAGATTCGGCGCAAAGCATCATGCCATGCCAGGGGGGACGGTGTTTTTGAAATGCTTCGCGCCTTGTATGCGTATTAGTGATGCATTTTAATTTTAGTTGTGCGCAAAACGGTTTACGGTTTGAGATGTTTATCGTTCAATTCGATTCTACAAAGACACTGACTGTTTACAGTTAGTAGGTAGTGGTTTCCTAATAAAAGGAATTGAATCAGTGGGCAAAAACATAATCTATCATCAAAAAGTACGCATAGGGATATTTACATGACTGTGCCATGATATTATGGTACCTATCATTAAATTTTGCAGTTGGCATCACTATAGAAGAATCTATCATTTACGTTTCATCAGATTTTTCTCTATTTCCCTTGCAATTCTAATATGTACATACTTATCTTCCTTCATCATCACAACCACCATCAGTCTATTAATGTCCCCACTGCTGCACACGCCTGCTGATATATGGGTGCTAACGGCTATAGATGCAGCTGGGACTAGAAGCTTAACGTGCTTTCTGAAGCACGGAGGAACTAGAGATAATTTGGCAACCCATCCTGTGACTGATCTTTGCGAATGTTGCTGTAATTGCCATATCATAGTAACCAAAGTGACTTTACCTACTTTGGTTTCATTCATAGAACTCTTTGCAATTTAAGTTGAAAAGAAAACCAAAGTATTACTTACCTGCAACTGTTGCAAACGCTCAGAACGGAGATTTCTATAAAGATTACGCAGACCCAACTTCAAAAATGTCAACTGTCAGTCTTGAAAAAGTTTCACCGAACCTTATCCTTATACCATCCTAAGTACGATTATAGTAAGCCACCATAAAAAATAGCATTACCTTCCCTTTCCGTGAAACACCTTTATTGTTATGCGGATAAACCAACAAAGAGGCGTTGAAATCTATACCCGTCGTTGCACGCTTTCCTACGCCGAGAAAAAAAAACAAACCCACCCAAAAGTTGCCAGACCGAAAAATAGAGACGATACAATCGAAAAGAGATTATGACAAGCCCTTATTTTGTTTGTAAACAGACCTCCGTGTTAACAAAAGCATTCGTAATGTGACACCTTTGCCCATCTATGGTTTTTAAGTAGCGCCATTGATATCTACAATAATGGCGGCATTCGCGACTAGTAAAGCAAATTGTTGACGTTTCGCGGTATTAATAGATGCAGCTGCGCAAAAAGTTGCCATATTGTTGTTAGATAATTTGATAATTTGCAGTAAAATGATATAGGTGTGGATTTAAGTATACGGTTGTACGGATGAGTGACAGGATATATTTCCAAGTAAGTTTTGTTAGTATCAGCTGAATAGGGACAGGTTTTACATCCCAAGTGTATATAGTTATATATATAGGAGTATATAGTTGCAGAAATTAGCTCAAAATCTCAGAAAACACACAATTGCAAAAGCTACTTTGAAACGACCGAATAAAGAATAGTTAAATCTCCAACACATAAATTACAATTAGGTCTCTCTAATAAGTCCTTTGTGTTGGAGTGGCTAAACAATTCATAGTGTTTTTCTACGAAAAACCGAGCCGAAAGTTTGTTCTGCGATGTAGAAAGTTCAATAAACTTTTAACTACAATATTGGATGTTACATACTTGAGAACAAATAAAACATAAGTAAGTGTTCATATAGATCGGGTACTGGTAATTTTTGCGTTCATCACACCTTTGAACCTTTGTTGCAGCAAAAGGCACGGCTGCAGTGACAAAATTGCTGTCAATGTCAAGCTGTTTATGAGAAAAAGTAATGGCCTTAATAATAGAACCTAGGGGCACGCCCATAATTATGAGTAGGTTGGTACTCTAGAAGTTTTGCAAATATCATCTGCATTTTCTTTGGTTTTCCTTTTTATACAAAATTCAAAATCTAGCAATTTAAATAATGTTTTTGAAGTGAAAAAAAAAACCATGCTCTGGGACCTCACAAGTTGACTGCAAATTCGACAATTGTTGTTCAGCGAAGCGTGACCGGTTTCTCAATAGAACAGACTATCTGTTTTGTGACTTAACGCAATTCTCATAAGCTGACCATTCGACTGTTTCACCTGTCCACGTAAAAAATATTGTAAAACAGTTAAATGACTAGCATTTTTGATATATTTTCAAGAAAGAGTTAGTCATCAACGATTTTTACTATTGTAATATATTGTTATACTAGACTGTTATAAACACAATCGAAAAGTTTCTACTTTTGGAATAAGACAACTATATTTTCGCGAACAACAAAGATATAAATACCAATCTACTTTGCGAAGAAAAAAAATACATCAGCTAATAAAACATACAGTTTTTGTAAATGCGTGCGTGTTGTTTAGACTTTTTTGATGTGTGTATTTTATGATTAAACGATTTTTTCCAAGTTGTAAAAGACAAATTAAAAGAAATATGTTACTTATCAGGTAATAGCAATTTATTTTGTTCAGTAAGATTTTTTATAGTGCTTAAATTAAGCTCTTTTCCTATACGCATTGGGTGCGCGTGGTGGATCATGTTATTTTAAGAGAGTTCTGTGTTCCAGCAATAGTGAGGGACACTTAGGCCCGTATTATAGAAAGATTCTCAGTGATGAATCTAGTCTTGAGCATATATAGAAAGGGATGTCGCTATATAGAGCACATAGCGTCATCCCTTTTTAACTGTACTCAAGCAAAGATCAACATTTAGTTGTCATTCTGTAATACGGGCCTTATAGGCTCATGATAGTGATGATGAGGTTCAAGCTATGTACCTTTACTATTGATTTAACTGAGGAAAAAGGTAAATATAATTCCAATAACAACAGCATAGCGTAGCGTCCTCAATTATACACAGTCAGGTCATAAGTATTGTCACACAGTAAAAAATGTATACTTTTTAGAATTTTACTCAAAAGAAAAAAGAAGACAGTTTTGCAGTTATTGCATTGCAACCTTGTGGTTACGCGCCAATTCAAAATTTTGACATACTGAAAAATTTGAATATAACCAAAAGATTCCTTTATCGTACCATCAAACGATACAATGAAGACTCTAGTGTAGATGACAGGTCAAGAAGTGGTCGCCCTCGGTCTGTTTGGACTCCAGCAGTGATAAAAGCTGTGAAGGCGCGAATTCAAAGAAATCCCAAACGTAAGCAGAAACTGTTGGTCCTTCAGATGGGGTTAAGCAGAACCACGGTGAAAAGGGTGTTAAATGAAGACATAGGGCTTCGGGCATATCGAAGAAAAACAGGACATCGTTTGAATGCTCGTCTAATGGACCTGAGACTGAGAAGATGCCGCGCTTTGTTGAAGCGGTATGCGGGAAAAATTCTTTTTTCGGATGAAAAAATTTTTACCGTAGAAGAGAGCTATAACAAACAAAATGATAAGGTGTACGCACACAGTAGTGAAGAAGCGAGCAACAGTATTCCGCGTATCCAACGAGGTCATTTTCCATCCTCGCTCATGGTATGGTTAGGAGTTTCTTATTGGGGCTTAACAGAGGTACTTTTATGTGAGAAAGGTGTAAAAACGAATCGAAATACAGTCGTGACGAACCTTGTGGAACCTGTTTTTCATACCATGTTCAATAACAGGTACTGGGTATTCCAACAAGATGCGGCGCCAGCTCATAGAGCGCAGAGCACACAAGACTGAGAAAATCTGGGAGAAATCGACTTCATCCGGCACGAAGACTGGCCCTCCTCCAGTCCAGATTTGAGTCCATTAGATTACAAGATATGGCAACACTTGGAGGAAAAGGCGTGCTCAAAGCTTCATCCCAATTTGGAGTCACTCAAGGCATCCTTGATTAAGGTAGCCGCCGATATTGACATGAACCTCGTTCGTGGTGCGATAGACGACTGGCCGCGCAGATTGAAGGCCTGTATTCAAAATCACGGAGGTCATTTTGAATAAACTTTATAGTCATAAGAATCTATGTTTTGTTAAGTTCATTTTGGTATTATATAAATGGTTGCATAATGAATAAACTTGTTTCAATTATTTTATATTAAACATGTGACAGAATTTATGACCTGACTAGGTATGTATAAATATCAGGTTTTTTTAACGATGCTCTAATATTATGTTAAAAGATAAATAGGCTTAGAAAAAAAATATAATTACACACAGTACCTTTCGGTTGAACTTTTGCAGCGTCCAAAATCAGGAATAGTAATTATCTGGGCACGTTAATGAATAATTAAAATGAGTATCAGCGCACGTAGTAGCCCCGATGAAAGATTAATTGGTGATTATGTGTTTAAATTTACTTTTAACTAGGTTGAATGTTTTTGAAAGTTGCTTTTATTGCGGGGCGAAATTGTTTAGTTATTAATATGATATTTTTGAGACAGTTTAATAATGTTTGACATGCTAATTACTTATCACATTTTTATCAATTAAGCTTTATACTGTTTGATCTATAAATTTAAATTACTTTTTAATAGGTAACATTCAACCTGATACGTGGGCCCAGTGGAACTTGCCTAGTAAAATTTTCTTTCTTGTTACTTATTCTTTATTATCTATTCAGACCTGTTACTCTAGGATTCGTTGTTTTAAGCCTATTGAGCGATTACAGGCTAGTGGTAACTACTACAGCCTGATGGACGATCTTGGTTTAGTTTCTCATCATCATCAGCGATGGACGTCCACTGCTAGACATAGGCCTCTTCCAGGGATTTCCATATGGAACGATCCTGCGCTCTCCGCAACCAGTGGGTCCCCCCGACTCGTTTGATGTCGTCAGTCGTCAGTACACCTTGGGAACCCAACGTCCATCGGTTCGTCGAGCTATGTGCTCCGCCCATTGCCACTTCAGCTTGGCGATCCGTTGAGCTATGTCGGTTGTTCTAGTTCTTCTATGGATTTCCTCATTTCTCATTCGATCATGCAGAGAAACTCCGAGCATAGAGTTCCCGAGTTTCTCATGGGATGGGCAAACAAAAAAATAAGGAACCCGCGCCGTTGGTTTTTGCCTCTACACGCTTATTGTAGTAAATACTTACACATTGAGCAGAAGGCCTAGTAAATACTTACACATTGAGCAGCAGCAGTGCTTAATAAAAATGAATTGTTTCTCCGTTATGTAATGGCTGTTGTGAAATATTTCCTGTGACGTAGGTACGCGATAAAAGCTGTCATGAAAGTTTACTTAGAGCCTGAAAAAATGTCACTGGCTCATTAGCCATAATATCGTCGGTCGGTGGCATGCAAAATTCGCCTCTGCCCACTACGGACTCTAATGATCACGAACAGATACCCGCCTCCCCAGGGCTGCCCCCCAAAATTAATTATAATTAACATTTTACTAAAGTTGCCAGGCAAAAATTAAAAGGTACGAAGTTTGTTTAATTAGAAACGATTGGACTTAATTATCCGAGTTCGCTTAGCTGTGATTATATTTGCTAAACTAATTAACTGTGAAAGCGAAAATTTTTAGGGGATATTGTGTGTGTTTATTGTATGTTTTCGGCTAATGTTAACTAATATATAAATGTACTCGTCGATTTTGTGAATACAATATTATAAAATTTTGGATGTGATTTAAATACACATTTGCACATCCTGCGATAAGATTTATCTTTTGGGGCAAAATTTAAGTATTTAGGCATTTACCACTTACATTTTTATTTGAAGGATTTTTGTACAATTGGTAAAGCCAACCAATTTGTAAAATGACTTTTTTTGATTCAAATCTGGTATAGAAGATAGTTTAGAATCTTCTACTGTTTACTGCTTAGATGATCATTTGTTGATTAATCCGATATTCTTATCTGCTTTCTGCTCCTGGATATTCGTTATTCAACAAAATTAATTAAGTAAGGTAAAAATTAACACGATTTCCATTCAAAATTATAAAAGCGTTATTGTAAATTTCTATACAATGCCATTTAAAATATAATGCATTAAATCCGAGATTTGAATAAGACAGGTTTATCTATTGAAGCTTTTCTTAAACAGTGCGTGCGCAAGTAATACACAAGTTCATTCAAAGTCTGTATTTGACATCCAAAATGTAAAGACTGTAGCCAAATTACGAATCTTGTAGTCTCGTTTCTTTTGATTTTTATCTAGAGTTAATTAATAAAAGAAAATGCTTTATATGATTATAATATTTTTGGTTCCGTGTTGTCATGTGTACGTTTAATAATGGTAAGAAAAATCCCTACAAGTTTTCTTCAAACCTAAATAAGAGAAAAACCTAAACGACAAAACGTAAGCACGCCATTGTTCCTAAATAGTAATACCAAAGTTGACAACAACAAACGCAAACTTGCGAAACAAGCAAACATTCCCAGTTGACAACCCT